AGATGGCGCCACGGAAAAATAGTCGTTAAAAACCAAAACAAAGATCCGACAACAAGAACATAGAAAAATTCGTGAGGTCCGCCGGTTCATTCCGTAGCTTAGTTGGTATAGCGTCTGGCACGGTAAGCTAGAAGACGTCGGTTCGAATCCGGCCGGATCGAAGGATTTTTTCTGAGTGTTTGATACATATACTTCACGCCTTATTCCCATCGGGGTAGGCAGAGACAACAGTCTTCGACTTGCTACGGTCCTGACACACATCTTTCGCCTCATCAACACGCATCAATGCTTTCATACACGCTCGTCGGTTAAGGGTACTCTTGACGTGGTCCTTCTTTAGGATGGCCTCAGTTTGGTCATGATAAGTTCTCCTTGGTCAGCCCATACCAACTCGCCCGCTCACACTCGCCTTATAAATCTGTTTCGTCACTCTTCTTTCATTCATTCTCTCTACATGTCCGAACCATCTAAGCATCCCATTCTCTAACTTTGTCACTATATCTTCTTCCACGCCGCCGCAACGCTCTCTTAACACACTGCTCCGTAATTTATCCATCCGAGTGACTCCAGCCATACTCCTCAAAGCTCTCATTTCTACTGCATTAATTCTACTTTCATGCTTCTTCTGCCAAACCCAACATTCACTACCATACATAAGTGTAGGAACCAGCACCCCCCCATGCACAGCCAATCGTGCCTTTTTAGACACTTTCTGGCTGCCCATGAAGGTATGCAAGGCACCATTCACCTGATTCCGTGCGTTCACTCTTCTTTCAATGTCTCTTTCACATTTTCCATCACACGTAAACATAGAACCCAAATACACAAACTCTTTCACTTGATCCACTTTCTCTTCTTCAATCAATATCGTGCAAATCATCATATCTTCTTCTCTTTCAAAAACCATTACCTTTGTTTTTCCCACATTAATTTTCATTCCTCTCCTTTTAAGAGCACCATGCATAATATTTACCATCTCCTGCAACTCCTCCACTGACGACGCTAATACCACCTGGTCATCGGCGTATAGGAGGCACTTAATGAGTAAACCATTCATTCTCAGCCCATACGTACTCTCTTTCAAAACTTTCAAACAATTGTCCATAATTAGGTTGAACAGCCATGGCGACGCTACACATCCCTGTCTAAGTGTTCGATCTTTGTATTAATAATTATAACAAACTAGTGGTGTAATTTTACAAAAAATATGTTATCCTGACATTCAATAAAAACTTTTTTAATAACATTAACAATTACTAGAAGTAATTAAAATAATCTTTATTATTATCTATATTTACATATATATATATATTTATTATTATCTTTACTACCAGAAACAGTGCGGGGCCATGTGTGTGAGGATATATAATGCTTTACACTCTGATATAAAAATGATAAATAATAATCTTCTATATAAACGTCAGATGGCTAAGAGAAAAAAAATTCTATTCAATTAATGACTTCTTTACATATAATTCTCTATAAATTTGACCACTTAACTTATTTGATAAGAAATGTATTTATATTTTTTGACATCTTCATGACATGGCAATATCTTACTATTATAATATATTATCTTTATGCATGATAGGACTTGCTTTAAAATTGTTTAGTTGCCAATATGTTGACATTCATAGATTTGCATGCCGATACCGGTAAAATATGGTACTGTTTTATTATGTATACTTGTACCACCTTGTAACACCTTTGTACCTAGAAATATGGTTTATTTTAAGCAAATTAATTTCATTCATTCATAATAATTGAAAAATATGATTACATCTTTACGTGTTAACTAGAAAAACTTGCAAAAATTTTATTTTAAGCTTTAATAGCGCGATATTGCGTTTGAAGAGTATAAAGCTGTGGATGACAGATTGACTAAGTACTTAAAATATTCGGGTGCAAAAAGGCTGGATAATGCATTGTCAGCGTAGTAAATTGACGCGATCTCAAAACGTCTCAAACTTTTTTATGGTACTGGAGACTAGGCTCTACTCTATGAGTAGAATTGCTGGCTGAATATAGGTAGTGATTATAGTTTTATATTTAGAATGTTAAGGATTAAAATAAGAAAACAGAAGATCTTGACATATTACATTATTGATTTGTAACCCAAAGCCGAACTATGTAAAAGAATACAATAAAGTATATTTTGAAGTTTATTCCACTTTATATTCATAAAAGTACCTCTCGCTACGCATCCTGAGCTACCCCTCGTTACAGTACCAAATGACGCGATGAACGTATGATACTACTGGTGGTAACTACACATTTACCTACAACAGTTGCAGTGCTTTTTCCTAAGACGACCTCTTCATAATAAAAATATATTCATAGTGAGTCTCCTGTAGACCATACTTTAAAAAATCTAGAAGTACTTGCTCTACCTTCATTTACTACATCCTTGAAATTGCAATGTTCCTAAAAAAACCGCGGCGAATACAAATTATCTCCCCCTACACCCAATCAAGAGAAAGAGTATAGAAATTGGGCTGTACTAATAAATAATAAAATAGCAAATATATTAAAAACTCATGACAAATAATCAATATAGGAAATGAAACTATTTTTCCGGATTTAAATCGCGTATATTTGTTTTTTCTGAGGTGGTGAGACCACCGTAACCGTGACCATGGGACCTGTATAGGGCCCGAAACGTCGGTTTGTTTGAAAAAACAAATATACGCGGTTTAAATCCGGAAAAATAGTTTCATTTCCTATATGTAACAATCGCGAAAACCTAAGAACTCGATAAATAATCAATATTTCAACTAAACTTATTACTGGCCTTAAAAATGTAATTTTTTTTATAATATCAAGTGACGCGACGAATAAGTCGTATGACTGATGGTAAGCTACACCCCTGTCCATAACAGTTGCAGTGCTACTCAGAACTTTAAATCGCAAATATCTGAGGGGCACTGCCATGCCACTGCGCCCGTCACCCTGATACATAACTTGACAAGTCCCATGTACCTGTAATTTCGCCGCGCGACAATCATGCTGCAGAATCGAATATATAACCAGAAATAGAGACGAAATGTCATTTAATTTGTTTGAAAACCATTCTGCCATATCATTACTGTGACAACTGCGCTCCGATTGGCTAGCCCGAGTTCGAAACAATTGACGGGTGTCGTCAACTGTTCCTCTTCAAATCGACCAGTTAACTTGAGCATTGCTATAATGGACGAAAATTGCAAAATTACATATTTAATTACCGATGAAATATGATTCCGTTTGTTTTGTAATTAGATGTTTAGCTGTTTTTCCCACACCACCGAATAGAACAGAACGGCATTATTGGAGATGTTATCTTTTTACAATAAATACAGAATATTTTTTGGAATATACGGAGACGTACACACAGGTCAGTAGCTGTGTTGTCTACATATATTTCAGTGCAAACCGGAGTTGATATTTATAAGACCTGTATCGCTAATGTGTTACCAGGAATATATGGCCCTTATTTCGTCTCTATTTCTGGTTAAATACTCGATGTGCTGCAGTCACGCTCGGTTGCAGTCACGGTTAGTGAGGTGTACATGTTAATTTTTCAAATTAACCGCGATGGATGAAAATCGAATTGAAGAATTTATAAAGAATGTAAAACAACACATTGCAATATGAGATTGTGTTTCCGAATTTTTTTACTCATCTCAGCGTATTCATAAGTCGTTCTTCTGCACAAATAGTGTTTACGAAGATGGTTTCTTGTCGTTGAATGTGGCTTTCCAAGAGTGGAAGTAATTCCATAAACATGATTATATTAATTGTAATCTAGTTTTCGATTTGTTTGTCGTCATATTGCCGAACCTTGTAGTATTCATTTTGATTATTTTAACAAAATAAGTAAAAGTAATGTTTCTTCGTCAGAATACATCGCGTAACTGAGTCGAAAGATAAAACTCACTAAAAATTTGTTCGCACTTTATCACAAATTCCACAGTAGAGTACATCCCAGTTCCTTTCTACATCAGTTTTGATTAGAAGTGACCCTCCCTACCTACACTTTGGGTATACGAGAAGAACCTGTGTAAGCACGCCCGCACAGGGACCTTCTCAGTCAGGTCCTGATCCCAGATCTGCCCGTTTGCACGACTTCATCCGGTTCTCAAAAGGCCTTGGATGAGCTGCCCCGGGTGCACGTACAGCACTCTCCCTATTTTCCAGATAGGTACAAGAGCTGTAGGCACGCTCACTTACCGTTACGCATTGCGCAACTGATGGTTACCACCGCTAAGCCATCGACTCTAAAGTCTACTACCAAATCTCCTTAGTGGCGGAGCTGTAGTGTTGACATGCTCACCTCCCGATGCCGAAGCGTCTCTCCAGTTCCCAGAAACTTACGCAGCTGGATATCTAGCTCATTCTATACTAGCTCTTCGGGCTAGTGCCGGAGCTGCCGATCGCAGTGTCCTGCGACAATGTACTTCCGACTTAAAGAGTAACTCACGTGATCCGCGCGTCTCCTCGTCTAAGACGCGCTAGCTGGACGCGGAATGAACAGAAGAACGTGTTTATCCCTACAGCTAACCACAAACCCGCGGCGAGTACATACTCTGGTCTTACCAGGGAGCCGGTAGTCTCCCTGGAACTCCATATCTCTCGAGTCAGTAGATAGGGACAATACACACAGCAGAGTACAGTCGGGAAGTATGGACGTGAGTTTGTTGACAAATTGAAATGTAGGTCTTTTAAATAGGAAATGAAACTATTTTTCCGGATATATAAATCCGGAAAAATAGTTTCATTTCCTATGTGTAACAATCGCGAAAACCTAAGAACTCGATAGGTCTTTTAAAGTTAAGTGGCATACAGACTATCTTTAGTCTACCGTTCGCCACAAAACTTTGTTTTTTTTTTTCAATGTTTTACTTTCAAGTGAGGCATTGTTCATAGTGAAGTGGTAAATGGATAATAAACTTTAATAGTAATTCATTTATTTGTGAAAACACTGGTTATACACATTACATTCACTCACATGCACTTCGACAGACTGAACCAGGTGTAACACGTTTCTTATTCAATAATATTACAAGGGCGTGCGCAACGATTTAATAAATCGGTACACATGTGGTAGTATGAAGTGTTCATACATTGCACAAGAAAGAAATAGTAAAAGCTCTAACACGAAATTGTACAGTAAGTCAATGGAGAATTTAGCTTCTCGTTTTTACAGCGTTTGCTAGGTGATTTATAATTCTACATAGGCTGCCATGTTGGCAACACCGCAGCGGTTGAAGCCTCTTCTGATCCTGAAACACAGAAAACGAATTTGAAACTTATAACCGTTGTAACAACGTATCATATCGCCTTTACTATCATTAACGGCCGCCTATTTTGAAATAAAAAGTGCCAGCCAACAACACCAATTACTGGAATCAAACACGGGAATGCCATATACTATGAATAAAAGAGCAACGGAATTGACTCGGTGACACGGATCAATTTAATATAATGGCGTTTTTACCAGTATAATATTATTATTTTTTTTTGATAGTACTCCACTAATTTATTATAATTTGACCGAACAAACACAAAAAATAATGCCTTCGATCAGACTCGATTCGAACCAGCGTCTGTTGCCTCAACGTGGCTACAAATAGAGAAAATAATTTACCATGTGACACGATATTTTTTCCGGGTTGTCAATATAATTTATATTTTATAATACTAATTGATGGGACGAACAAATCTTGCGCCTGGTGGTAATTGACACGCCTGTCAATAACAGTTGCAGTGCCACTCAGAGCTTTTAAATCACAAAGATCTAAACGGCACTGCCACTGCGCCCGACACCCTGAGACACAAGTTGACAAGTCCCATGTTTTTTATGATTGATTTTATGACTGCAAGCGTATCGTCCCTCCTCTGTATGATATCCCCCCCTCCCCTAAAATCCCCCGTACCGTTAATATCCACTTCCTCCTAACGTTAGTCCACTTCCCCTTTGTCCTGTGTAAATTCATTAAAAATAACAATTTATTTCTGTAATAGTCTGTATATGTTGTCTGTTGTTGTAGATTCTCTTCACAGCGAATTCTATCGGAATTCACCGGTCAATTTCTGAGTAAAAAATGCGTGTCTGCTTTTGGCGGTAATGGAGACATAACATTATAAAGAAGAAGAAGCAATTGTTTCAGGCGTATAGCTATATATAGTAATTGTTATATAGTGATCAGTTAAGTTACCTAATGTATCCATCTTCTCCCCAGTTCTTTCCCCACCAGTTGAGCAGTATCCAATATTGACGGGTGTATCCTACCAGCAACATCGCGTGGTTCAATTCCCAAGGTATACAGAACGGGTCGTCGTAGATACCACTCCTGGAAAATTGTACACAAATGTGTTATGTTTAGGTTGTGATAAAAAGGCGTGACTATATTTACAAACCCTAATGATTGTGCTCAATTAGTGTTACTAATAAATAAGAAAGAATTGTAGTAAAACAATAACATTTAAATTAGATAAAAATTTCCAACAAAAGGAACTAAATATATTTTTTATGGTACCAAATATGATGAGACGAACAAGTGGTGTGCCTGGTACAGTCGGTGCCCTAACTTAAGTATCCACTATTTGTAGTTGTATGTTGTCAGCACTTAGTACAAATAATGGATACCTAGGTGAGGGTAACAACTCTACCAATGACAGTTGCAGTACCTCTAAGCTTCAAATTCAGGACTGAGAAATACTTGGCGCCAGAAATCGCTATGGTTACATTGTTACTTAAGTTGTTTGTTGTCATCAATACCATCATCATCGTTTGAAGTGTATCTGGCACATTTTGTATTTTTGTTGGGCCTAAGCTATTAAATTTTAGTTAATTACATATGCTGTTCCATTATGTTAAGTAGGTTCGTCACGGACGCCCGGCGGTCATTACATGGACGCCTAAGGCGTCCGTGTCCAGATTAAGAAACCCTGAGATAGACAGACCAGCCAAGACCGTTGAAAATTGCAGTTTCTTTCCAGTTTATGTTTACTGTTTGAAAGTCTTTCTTACCAGTCAGTTGTCAATTATGTGAACTATTCTAAGTGCTACTTCCCCTTACCGATTCTTTGACTTACAACCGGTCACACTTTTCTTTAAATACGTACCGATATAATTGAAAGGTAAATGGTGCAGCGTTGATAGCAACCGCTAAAGGTCCGATGGTAGCAAGCGCTCGTTCCATTGCTGCTTCATCGCCGAATGGAAGCATCGCCCATCGGCGAGGCTTCACATGTTTGAAAAGGCGATTGTAGTGGCAGAAACCTTTCTGAAATAGAAAACAACAGGCAAAGCTTTTGCCATCAATGTCGCAGATGTGTTGATGAAGATAATCCCAACCACAAAGCTTGAAACTTACACGATTGGTCGAATCTGAGGAGATAAATCATTGACTTACAAACAAATGGACGACGGGTCTAATACAAAAACCACGAAAAAAATGTCCCAAGTAAACCTATTTAAACGTAGTGACATGTAAAGGAATATGAAAAAGCTAAAACGTTGAATTTAAATTGTAATGTCATCGCAGTACTGTCTAATTTTGCTTGCTTCGCAGTCAGTCGAACAACCGAAGACTAAAGCGTGAATGACGCTCTGTATACGATTTTAACGCCCTATAAGTTCGAACACCTTTTAGCGCGGACGCGACGTCCATATAATTGTAAGTCAATGAGATAAATATACAAAAGATAGATTCCATCGCGAGAAACTTCAAGAGTAAATATATAAAGATTCATTGTGAATACTAAGCATAATATCTCAAGACTACTCTACCAACCTTTCCAATATAGGGATAATGCAACTCAGAAGTTAATCCCTCTCTAGTGACATATCTGAGTGCTGCTCTAAGGGAACCACCGTCACAGCCCATGTTGCCGTCTGTATAACTGCAGTCTACTATTTGTTGAGGACTGGAAACAGAAAACATGGTTTATACCAGTCGTTTAATGACGTTGTTTATTGCATAAAATATAATAACATTGCTGGTGCTTGTGCGTTTTTATCTATGATTACATTATACAATCTCCGTTTTACCAGCGGAAAACGGAGACTTGGACGGTATTTAAAATTACTTTCGCGGTTGCACCTAGCGGTTTGCGTCTTCCTTCTTAATAATGCGCAGAGCATATCAGAGACACGGAATAGAACATTCAACCTGCATATAATCCTGTCCTCACCAAGGATCCGACTGGTATCTTCTAAGCAACCTTTTTCCATCATCGACGTCATCGAAACTTAGTAGTCTAAACTGGCTGAAAAATCCTCTTATGGATTTGATTACCAGCAGGAGCCTATAGTCGTTTTTTACGGTCGGTGGTAAGATGAAAAATTTAAAACGCCATGTAGGGTACGTTATAGGTGCGAATTACAAAAAAATAACTAATGTTGTAACTAGTGTTGTAATGTTGTAAAATTGTAAAGTAAATAAAAAAAATTATTTACATTACAATCCTTGTACGACCCCAGCATTCGGTTCCGCACGACTGCACTCGGCGGGCAACGTTATTTTCACTTCTCTGAGCGCGTGCTTAGGTTCCTTTTTGCTCACAGTGAGCGATTGGTGTCATTAGTCAGATTTAGTAAGCTATTAAAACGTAGGTATTTTCTATTTTGTAAGAGAGTGGTGCATCTGTTACATAGTAACTATAAAGTAACCTGTGATGCAGGTTACTTCACGATGTTTTTTCTTCAGTAATCCAAATCAAAATATTTCTTTGTAATTCTCTCCTGTTAGAGCAGATTTAGAAAAACTCTATAACATATGTAAAGAGAGCACTGCGGCCACAAGATTGTCCGACATTTTGTTAGTACAAGTTGATTATAGGTGGGTAGATACCTGAGTTCTCTCCAATCGCCGTGTTTCCTGTAAAGCTGAGCTTGCAGCGCGTGTGTAACAGCAAAGGCGTAGCAAGCTCCGCAATGCCACTGCTCTTCAAGCTTCGGTTTGAACCCTCGCGCTCGCCAGTCAACCTTAGCTCAAAATGATCATTTGAGATGCATTTTTATCTTAGAAAAGTAAATAATCAAATCTCATCATCATCATATGTACCAGACATATAGAGTACACCAATAATGGTATGGAGAAAATAGTATTTGGCCTCAGTCTCATCTGATGGAAAGGAATGATAAGATCATGATGGCCCATGCACCTACAACGCCTGTTCTCTTGTTCTTCGAAAATACCCATGGTATATATACTTCAGGGTTCAAGTTATTCTTTGACTGAAATAGATGCCAACCCTTCGGTTACTGGGGGCTTCGTCTGTACCCCACAATTACATAAATTGGTTATTAAAGAAATCCAAAAGCCACAATATATCACTAAGTATGAGGTTAGCAGCTTTTTTTTATAACATCATGTGACAGGATGAACAAGTCGTGCGCCTGACGGTAAGTGACACGCCTGTCCATAACAATTGCAGTACCAGTCAGAGCTTTAAGAGGGAGCAGAGGAAAAATTCCTAATCTTCGATTTGATTTTAGAGGGGTATATCCACTTTAAAGTTAAAAATAAAATATTATATGAGTAACTACACGATATATTCAAGCATAGACATTAATCAGAAACATAAAACAATAAAGTTTCCTCGATAGATAAAAATCACGAAATATGACCTCTAATTTTCACATTTTTTCGATTCATCCTCGAAATGCTACAGGTTGTTAGGACAAAAATTAGATAATTAATTATATTTATGCAAGATCAACAACTGTCACTTCAGATTTTTTTTAATTCCTTTAGTTTTAGAGTTATTCCGCTAAAACGAATTTGGTACTTTTAATGCTCAGAACTCAACATCTCCTGTCGCATGTCACGCGAACTTCAGGCATATATTTGTTTCACAAATTTGGTCGGAGCCAACGTCAAAACTTTTTTGGCATGAGAGCTCTTAAATCTTAGGGATGTGAGAGGCACTGAGACGTAAGTTGAAAAGCCCCATGTGCCTGTAATTTCACTAGCACCCTTACCCTTCAACGGAACACAGTAACTCTCACATTACTGCTTGGCGCCAGAAATAGGAAAGGTGGCAGTACTACCCCGGACGAACTCTTTCACAAAGAACTCTACTACTCCTTGTAACCTTCCTCTCTTCTATTCTTCTACTTTTTATCCGTTTTCCAGTCCGTAACCTGGGTTTAGCAGAGTGTTTTTTATCATTGTATCGCCGTCGGATTGTACACCATGATCAATTGGCAGGGGATTGCGAATTTTAAAAGTAAATTACATTGAATTCTTACTTTTACTATAGCCAAATTGTTAGATACCTTTCTAGGAACCCTGACATGAGCATTTCTCCTGAACGCTGATCTATGGTGATCTTCCGCCGGATCAAAAAGGGGAACGGTGTCTATCAACTTCAGGATGTTCTTGAAATAGTCTGCTTCGCCCTGGAAAATAAGGTCTAGTTTTCCAAAGCTTACGCCTTTGAACTATTGGTTACCTCTTCCTGCATGTATAAGCTAACATATCGATGTTAGCTTCTACAGGTTCCTACCTCTTCCTAGAGGACAATTTTATGTTCAAGCTAATAAAACTATTATAAATCCGAAAGTAGCTCTGTCAGCTGACATTTATACGTAGCAACGTTTTCAGGTTTAAACTGCTGAAGTAAGTATTATTATAATAGATTTTATAATATGAAATATGTATTTATCTAAATATTTAATAGTAATAGTAGTGCTGTAGCAATTTAATATTTTTATATATTTTTTTAAATTATTATATAATACTATTTCGCAAAGGTTCTTAAGAAAGAATGATAGATAATAATCGTTGTAAATTAACATGTACTTAGTTAATTTTAGATGCCTAATTTCATTTTCTCAAGCGCTGGGAATAGTCAGTCCTCTCAAGATCATGGGCGTTTGCAACACGTCCGAAACGTCGATTTTAAAATCTAATAGGTAATGTTCGGAGATGTTTGTTTTTCTTTTAAACAGAGCTTTTTACGAAAAAACACTATAATGGTTCCGAAGACAGTTTCCTTGTAACTTCCGTTGAATCCACCAGGATCCTAGGGAATCTTTGTGAACCCAGCAGTTCATTAGAAACCCCTAAGTTAAATGTAAGTCATTGACTTACAATTATATGGACGTCGGGTCCGCGCTAAAAAGTGTCCGAACTTATTTATAGGGCGTTAAAATCGTATACAGAGCGTCATTCACGCTCTAGTCTTCGTTTGTTCGACTGACAGCGAAGCAAGCAAAATTAGACAGTACTGCGATGACATTACAATTTAAATTCAACGTTTTAGATTTGTCATATTCCTTGACATGTCACTACGTTTAAATAGGTTGACTTGGGACATTTTTTTCGTAGTTTTTGTATTAGACCCGTCGTCCATTTATTTGTAAGTCAATGATGTAAGTATATAAAGTTGCAATCACATTGCGACAATAAATAATTACTTATTGTACCGATCGGGCGATCGAATTTTCTTGTCGTTTTCATAGATAACCTTTTTTGATTTAGGTAACGATTGGCTAGAATCTATGGTTTTTGGATTTCCCCATAGTGTCCCATTAAAAAAAAACACTGCTTGTATTGAGAAAAGCACCCCTGCGGGAACGGAGATTGCTCGGTTTCATTCATATAATAGAAGGCCTTGTTGAACAAACCCATAATTCCCGGCGTCTGTAATAATCTACCATTTATTTGCCTAAATTAAAAGACTGTCAAGAATAATAATGATCCTGTAGCTCCACCATCGAGTTCCCCGTTAATTACAGTACTTACCAAGTCACCAAAATGGTTTAAATTTAAAGAAAACGTGAGTTTTCCATCCAAGAAAAGGCGGTTGTGTTCAATCACTTTGCGTAGATTCTCTTTCCACGTCGACAGTGCTGATTTTTCGTGGCATCGGGACGTGTACTGCTTTTTGTATACTTTCTGGAACATAGTTAAAGTATTTGATAGACTATGTATAGATATAGGTAGTGAATTACCTAAAATAAAGTAACTATTTTTTGTTATCGAAATTCCGTAACTATATTTGTTTTTTCAAACAAACCAAGGTTTCGAGCCCTTTACTGGTCCCATGGTAACGAATAACTAATTGATAGTCAGTCGTCCAATACTTCGGCATATAAATTGAATCCATGGCCCAAAATGCAGCAGTGCAATGCAGGGTGAGGCGTTAATTTACACTGGGACAGTTTCTTCAGCTGTACCAAGCACAAGGAGAGCTAGTAGAGGATAAGCTAGATATTAAGTCGTTTTTCGGCGTCGGGAAGTGAGCGTACCCTAGAGCTCCGCCACCAATGAGGAGATTTGGTTGTGGACTCAGAATCGACGGCTTAGCGGTGGCGACCGCTAGTTGTGCAATACGCAACGGGAAGTGAGCGTGCCTACAGCTCCGGTACCTTTCTGGAAAACAGGGAGGGTACTGTACGTGCACCCGAGGCACTAGTCTCTCGAAGAACCGGATGAAGTCATGTGACAGAAGTCTGTGACAACCTGTACACTGGCTGATCTGGGATCAGAACCTGAACTTGTAAGGTTCCTGTGCGCGCACAAGTCGTAGTGCCCTTCCCGCATAACCAAGAGCTTGACAGGAAGGGGCACTATAAACAAAACTTATGTAGAAATGATATGGGACTGGCCACCTTGGTTTCAATTGACATGATGAGTGCCAAGAGGCTTATAGGTGACGTCGGAATTAATAGAGGCGAAACTGCAGAGCCTTGTACACCGCGGTAACGTTGCCTGCTTATTTTCGGCATTCTACAGGATATATTATATCACGGAGAGCGTACGATGGAATTACACGATTTAATTCCGCCTTCTCTTGTCCGTCACCGTCAACGTTATATGTTGAACCTTTTCAAGATTTAGGTGTGCATGCTCCATCGTCGACATCATCGTCAGTTTCCGTCAGGTGAGATGGAGGTCAAATGCACACTTATGTTTATTAAAAAAAATCCGAAAAAACCTTAAAAACTCGATAATGACAGTAATTTTGAGCTATAATTACCAAATTATATTAAAAAAGATTGAACACAAAGAAGTGACGGGACGAACAAGTAGTGCGCCTGACGGTAAGCGACACGCCTGTCCATAACAGTTGTAGTACCACTCAGAGCTTTAAATCTCAGGGATGTGAGAGGCACTGCCACTGCGTCTGTCACCCTGAGACGTAAGTTGAACTCACATTACTGCTTGGCGCCAGAAATAGGTAAAGTATAATCTCAGTACAGAGTAATTAAAATAAACCGACCTCAAAAGTACGCGGAATTACGTCTATTTGCTAAGTTTTATTGAAATACCCCCTAGTTCGCCACTATACGGAACTTGATACAGGAGATAATAAAAATCGGTTCTCACTACTCAAAGCATAGATTTAGTATATGACTCAAAGTATATTGAGAGAGAAAAACGATATTGGAGAATAGCAAAACCAACCATTAAAAGAATTAACATAACATAACATAACGCACACACTCAACATAGCGCACACACTCAACATAGCTCCGTAAGTAAAATTTAGGCGCTATTTCTAAAAATGAATGTTCGTGCGTGATCAGCCCTTAGAGGATGATTTTTTCAAAATGACATGGGACACTATGGAGGTACCCTCTTTCCAACAAAAAAAGAATCATGAAAATCGGTTCACAATTACCGGAGTTATCGCGTAACATACATCCAAAAAAAACATACAGTCGAATTGAGAAACTCCTCCTTTTTTTGAAGTCGGTTAATTAAGCTACATAAATAAAAGCACATTCATTTGAATTTTTGATTGGTGTAGGTACACAAGCACCCCAAAAATTGTCTAAGCATAGGCTATACAAACTTCATCATCAACTGTTAGTGTTCTTCCCAGTCTTCTGCAGTAAGTTGCTTACCTATGAAATAAAGATTATTTAAGTTTGAGCTTTTTGAAAGAAATACCTTAATTTATAAATAATTACTTACCTTGTATTCCTGCCAATGAGAATCAGGAACATCTTTATGCAATGGCATGCCATTAAAAATATGTTCATTAATATAATTATCACTTTGTAGACTTTTGTTGGGACACTGGCTAACATTAAGGTTTTTCAAATAGTCACCAATATATTCAGTTCTTTCTAAAACATCTAAAGTTTTACTAACAAAGTTATCTAATTTCGCATTTGCACTACACCGTCTAAATCTAGAATTTTTACAACTGTTTAATAGATATCTAATTTTATTTGCAGTATCACTAATATTTAGATTACAATTGATTAAAGATATTTTCAATAAAATTACAATTATCAACATTTTTTTTAACAAAATCTGAACCGCAGTCGACAGGTATTAAGCCTTTACATTTATAAAGAAGTTATAAGAATTCTGCTAATGCATCAAATTCTTGCAAAGTAAGTAATTTGATTCACAAGTATACTAAGTAATATGATGTTACTGGAGTTGCAGTTTCTAAGAGTTTTTTTAATAATACGAAGTGTAGGGACGGACATGTTGTGCGCCTGGTGTTAAGCGACACGCCTCTCCATAACATTTGCAGTTCCATTCAGAGCTTTAAATCACAAAGATCTTATGGGCACTGCCACTGCGCCCGTCATCCTGAGACATAAGTTGACAAGTCCCATGTGCCTGTAATTTCACCAGCACCCTTATCGTTCTAAACTGGAACGCAATAATGCTCACAATACTGCTTGGCGGCAGAAATAGGTAAGGTGGCAGTACTTCCCTCGACGCAGCCTTTCACAAGGAGCTCTACTGCTGTTCAAATATTTAAATATGTGAAGCCGGCACTGCAGTTCGTCGTGTAAAATGTCATATTTTGGCTAAACAGGGTCAATGGCGAGGAGCGCTATCTACATTCCATAAGACTACGTAATTGATTACGTCATTCGAGTACCTTGTTCCAGCATGACCATAGTCGAGTTTTTGAAATTTGACTAGCCATAAAAAGTCGCTATTTAGTAGGTTCTAGTCGCAAAAAGCTAGATTTAGTCGGCAAGACGTTCAAAAGTTATAAGGGTGTTTTACTGTCCACGCTGGAATAAGCTTATTCCAGCGGCACCATTTCTCAACCTCGAGAACCACAACACCTAGCTTAGATCTGATTACACTAAAACAAAGTCGTGATTTAGTTACGCCGTTTTGAAGTTATTAAGGTGTTTTACTGTCCACGCTGAAATAAACTTATTTTTGCATCTCGAGAACCACAGCTCCTACCTTAGATCTGATTGCACCCGGAAAGTCATGAATTAGTCGGTTCTAGTCGCGGAATTTTGGAATTAGTCGCCCCTCGGGGGCACCGAGAGCCGCTCACGACGACGCCTATAAAAAGCCTGTGTCACTCGCGGCTAGGGATCTCACTGGATAATCACAGTCTCGGTATTTGCTATTAATATAATATTGATTTCTAATACTAAGGATTAAGCCTTAGAATAATAACGCATAGAAACCTAGTCCGCACTCGCTAAGTAAGGCAAATAGAAGCGCTCCCAAAGGGCCTACACGAGCGGGCGGGCCGTCAATGCTCAAGGTCAACTTGCACCGCGAACACCTCAAGAATTTTAGCTAAAAACGTTTTAGCTAAAAACGCACATTCCACAAGGAAGTAACGCGTTTCAACTTGTATTTTTATATAAATATTCACTAAAACTGAAAATTAATTTCGTTGCAACAAGACACGAAAGTGCCTACATGAATTTGATTTTTGCTTCACTTGTGACAGTTCGTTTAATATGAAACTATCATTCTATGCGTTATTATTCTAAGGGATTAGCAATGAAAAATAAAAAATGTTTAAAATATATTTCTTATTTATTTGTCAAAATTCAATTAGTACACTAGCACTAATATACAATGGCATCGCATCTCACCTACTCAGTATGATATGCAGAATGTTACACAAAGGTAACACATAATATACTTTTTGAAATTATACAATATTGTAAACTAATTGGTTGTGCAATGACGCTATGATCATGTTTTGACGCAACATTAGATAAGCTACAATTTAATTTGACAGGTCCACAGTGTTGCCACTTTCAAAATAACAGTGAAAAACAATCAACGTTATAAAGAACAGAAGAACTTGTTACAGCACTATGCATTCTAATTGGTTAGATTTTTGACAATGACATTTTATTGTCAAACCGAAAGCACTTATTGGCCAGTACGGATTTATATATTTCATAAACTAGATCGCGCACTTCGATATACCAATATTACAAATTTGCACCTTATTAGGTTATGTTATGGATATTTTAAGTAAAAGTAAAGAACCGAGCCACGTGAGATAGCTCAAAGTAGTGGTCTGTCCTTGTCTAGCAAGTTGCCAACGCTAAATAAAACCGTCTTAGGTAGTGTCTAGTCTATTAACTTTTTTAAATTTTGCTTAAATAAAATTAGCTTAAAAAGTAGCATATCAAATAGGTATACTAATTTGTATCATGAAATAATATTAGTAGTTATGGTCATCCATAAGCGGCCACATTTTCTGTAAAAATTAAAAAGTTACAAACAATATGGCTGGCTGAAACATGAATGCGCACCCTATGAAAAAGAGACGCATCACTACTTTGAAGCCTCTCACTCGGCTCGTTTTATTAACTTAGTGCGCGGTCCAGTTAGCGATGAAAGAGACTCAATCTTTTAAGGCCTTTTAAAAAACTTCGATTAATTTTTAACGCCTCAGGACTAGTCTAGTCTTTTAACCCTCGAGTCTTGAGTCATGAGACTAAAACTGAAGACTAATTCGAGTCGAAATCTTTTAACCTTATGAAGCTTAAAAGACTTGTAGGACTAAAACGACTTAAAGAACTAAAACAACTGGCGCCTTATAGCCTCGGGAGCCGCGAGTCATGAGCCGTATGGCGTGATTTTATTTCTACCACAAGATATTTATTTTACGATTGATGGATAACTTTAACGTACCCTTGATCACAGAAGTCAGTTAATTAGATAGAACCAATTCAAGAATTTGTTTTTTGGGAATTATTTGTTTCTTTAATATAAAAGTGAATGGATACAGAAACCAACAGTCAAAATATTTTATCAAATTTTAGTGTCTGATACTGTCGTTTGACCATAATGATGAATGAAACATGCTATTTATGAACGTATTAAGTGGTGGTCCACAGTCTCTGCCTACCCCTGAATGGGCGACAGGCGAGATTTAAATGTATATGTTTGTTTGTATGTACTACAGATAAATTGTATCTCACTACTGTGCACGGGTTTCTAAAGAAGTTTAAACAAAAGTACCAGGACTTCATAATAAGAAAGGTAGCTACAGACCAATATTACGCAAAATAAAAAAAGAGCACGTTAGAACTGGATTTCCATAGACTTTTAAATATTGGTTGTAATTCATTATTTACTCGCAGAAGAAGTATTGTATGCAATCATTATATAATTAGGTCTTAAAATCTCGTACCTATTGCTTAAATCACTCTTTGAATCCTAATTTTTATTATAAGTAAATAAACGTGATTATTTACTACATACTACGTCATTTTTATTTAAAAACTTCGGGTTTAATAAGACTAAAATAGGTAATATAAATAGGTAAAATAGGTACATTGCAAACAACTCGAGTCGTTTAAGTCGTTCAAGTCGTATAAGTCGTTCAAGTCTTTTAGTATAACGACTGAGTTTTATTAGTAAAAACTGGAACCTCCAGTCTTCATTTTAGAGTCGAGCCCTGTAAAATGGAGTCGTTATAAAACGCTTAAAAGACTGAGTCTCTTTCATCGCTAGGTCCAGTTTAATATACAAGTCCGTGTTGGTCAGTCCTTTTCCCCGCCGTCGGTACTGCGGTATCGAACACGATGTTCAGTTTATTATTGTCGCATTATATAGAGTCGTATCAATTAATTCTTCTTGAATCCGGAGGGAACTATACACCGGACTTAACGGATATTTTATTTAACGGGAAATAAACATTCCCTGATTTTGGTCGCTACTCCGTGCCAGATTCTGGCACAGCCTTAAAACGAGCAATGTAACGTAGACTTCATCGTATACAAGATTAGGTTACATTTATTTAAACTAAAAGTGAAAATCAGGATGCAGCAAGCGGCGCGTGCTTTCTAAAATGCAGTATTTAGCATATTCTCATATTGCGTTGCTTGTTTTAATTCAGTTCGTGTACCAGTCTTGTGAAGTAACTTTCTGCAATAATTTTAGACCTATCACATTAGTTATATGATATGCATGTAACTAAATCATAAAGTAAACAACAGAATGGCAAATAAATCCTGTTTTTTTCGCAAATTTCTACAATTTAATGTATCGTATACTACACGATAACAGTTACTGTGGGTTGTGGACCGCGGAATAACAATAACGTGTTTATTATCCCTTGATTTTGAATTGATTTAATCATTCACGATTTCGACACATTATTTGATTTAAAAAAATCGGGACTTAATCGTATATTAAAACATATTATTAATTTTATTTATCTCGACGTTACGGACGTGTTGCAACGTCCATGGTCTTGAAGGAACTGAAGGGCGGGTGTCAATATCTTATAGATGTGTGCTATTCTAACAATTTTTGCACTTATTGAAAAACCCGATAATTTTCTTGAAGCCACTGGTCATTGTAATTTCACTGAGATTCCATTGATGTGACATTGCAATTATGATAACATAAAATATATTAATCAATAACGACCGATGTTGCCCTGATAAAATTACAATGCACATCTTAATTTTTACCTCGTGTATCTTGCCAAATAATTAGTAGACTACATAAGAGGCACTACAGACATACAGGCAGTTGAATAGTAGCTCGATGGCTAGCCAATATCTAACAGGCCATTTCTCTGAACTTTTGGCAGAATACCAAACAACTCCTGGGCCATTAGCACTCTATTGACACAACTAAGATGATTTAACATTACCCGACTTGGTATCCATAGATATGAGCGCCGATAACATACCAACCGGCAGTGGCGGTGTTACGGCGGCGCGAGCGCGACCATAAAACGCATTTGTATACAAATACTTTTTCAAAGGAAAAAATAAAATAACTTATTTTCTATAGTAATCAAATTTTTGTCAGTTCGATCAGGCGCTCCGGTCGTAAGCACGCTTCCATATCGTGTATGCCTAGCGAAAATGGCGACGGCATAAATTGACAAATTAATATTTTAAACAAAATAACTTCAAATTTAAAGTCACTAATTTTTTCTTAGAAATGTCAATTTCTGACGTCGCCATTTCCACTACGCATACACAATACCCGAGATGAATAAAATCGAGGTAAATAAAATATATTTATACATATTGAAGTTC